CTGATTCGCCCCAACCTACGATAGCATAAAAAAAATCAATTAGTATATAGATTAAATAAAATCATTACAACAACAACAAATATTAGGTAAAATGAGTACGCACCGCTTGATAGTCATCATAGTAAAATACCTTCTTCTTTGACAAAATTCGCCATTTTTCCAGGATCTGGAGAGAGATTCTACGGTTTTTAAATGAAAACCAAAGAATTTTTTTTTGAACGCAGATCGGACTTAGCCGCAACCAACAAAGCACTATTTCCAAGGGTTTTGGTTGGAGAGGGGCATGGGTAAAGTGATAAACTTAGAGAGAGAGGAGATTGGTTTTGGTGTGAAGAAAATGAGAGGGAGGGGGTGGGTATTTATTGGTGGAGGACCGCATGGTGGAGGGGCGGTTTGGTATTTTTATCCACCAAAAATCGCGCCTCCATACAAGGTTTCCTTTTCCCGACGCGCAAACCGCGCCCTCGGGCAACAGTTATCAGTGGGTGACGCGGATCGCTCCACTGGCAGGCGGTTAGTCGTCGGATCGCCTGCCTATCACACGGTTGCATGGACCGCCACGTGGCGATGCGGTTTTGCAGCTACCCAATGGTAAACCGCCTCTTGCCCGCACGGTTTTAGTGAGAACCGCGCCTCGAAATGGTGGTAGTTTTGAAATTTTGTTGGATTGGGTGGTACTTTTGTAAAAAAAAATTAAAGCATGGTAGTTTGGAAAAAAAATCCAAAATGTTCGTCTTAATTAATTCTTGGTGTCTATATACAAATAGTAAACAATTTATCTGATGAAATCTACGTTAACCTAAATTAGGAGCCTAAGTGAAAATTTTGCGCTTTAGCATTGTAGCACTCCTTATTAAAGCCAAACTCCTTTTCGTGGGGCTAGAATAGCAAATATTCAATTTTTAAACTTTCATACATCTTAGAGATGGTCAAGTTCTACCAACAATCACTATAATTGACGATCAACCATTTCCCGTCAGTGACTCAGCATTCACTGCTGACTAGGCTCGTCCACGTCATTTATTAAATTAAAAAAAAAACTTTTGTTATCTTCTTCATCTTCTTATTTCCTCCTCGGCTTAGGATAGGGTCAGTAACCATTGGTTACTGACCTATGAGTAACTAAATCTGGACCAATAGATCTAAGTGAGTCCAGAAAATTTAGATATAAGGGTTGTCAATTAAAGGCATTTTATTTTCCCTAGTTTTCTTAATTGGCTCTTATCTTTTTCGTTCTAACTTGGATTTCATTTTTTTGCACAGATGGAGCAAGTTTGTTGTTCTCTACAAAATGAGATCAATTTTCAATATATTTCGATAAACGTTTTTTACTAACTACATACCATATGGTAACTTCTTCGTTTTTAAGTCGTTTTTTAAAACGTTTGCTGAGGAGGAACGAGTTCATCATGATCTATTGGATCTATAAATTTCTGGGTGAAAAAAATATTGGACAAAAAATTACCATAATTTACCACTATGGTATGTAGATGGTAACTACAATTATGAAAGTCGTAAATGACAGTATGTATACTCCTACTATCATGTATTCGACATTCTTACCCTATTGGTATGTTCATATCATCATGATACGCTTTCTTACTATAGGTGTCAATCGGGCGGGTTCGGGCTGGGTTCAATCTGGTTGCAGGTTAGTCGGGTTGCGGGTTCGTCGGGTCGTGTTTAATCGGGTTTGGGTTCAATTGGGTTGCGGGTTAGTCTGGTTGCGGGTTGATCGGGTTCGGGTTCAATCGCGTTGCGGGCAAATCGGGTTTGGGTTCATCGGGTTTTGGGCCGGGCGGATTGGGTTTTGGGTTGTTAAGGTCAACGCATCGAGTTACTTACTCGTTACCAACTTACACATTTATTACACTAATTTAAAATATTTTCCATAATTTTTAACCAATTTCTTTCTACCTTGTATATGTACTTAATTAAAAAAAACTAGTCAAAATGTTGAATTAATTTGCATGACTTGCAAACTTGTCATGTAATTAATCGTAACTGGTAAAGTTTACTCACCAATAGGCATGGCTTGCAAACTTGTCGGGTAATTAATCGTTGATTTTTGAAGGAAAAATCCTCTCTAATTGGGAACACAATTGCTTTGTTTTCTCTTAAATTTCACTTATGTAGCAAAAATTTAATATGATCCATATGCCCATATATAAAAAAGGCTAATTCCACTAGGAATTTTAAACTATTCAGAAAGTGGCGTTTGTGTTCTAAACTATTCAATATGACAAATTTGGCACGAACTATTTTTCCATTAATGTTGATCGACATTGATCGTTAGTATTATACAGAAAATTTAGTCAGCATATATGTGATTTGTGCCAGATTTGTCATATTGAATAGTTTATGACACAAATGTCACGAAACGCATATAATTTATGATAAATTTGTCATATTTAATAGTTTATAATACAAATCACACTTTTATCCTAGTTTGGGCTTCTTAGTAGCATTATCCCAATAAAAGAACCCATAGGTGTGCTCTAGACATTTAGAAATACACATGACACTAAAAGTTCTACTAGGATTATCAATCGGTAAGGTTGCTCTTAATCGCACCATTTAGGTTGTTTACTCGTATCCACTTTAGGGGTGGATTTGCTAACCGCAATCGCAGCACATTCGTTTAGCTATTGTCCACATTACCTAATGCTCATAAATCAAAGAAATACAAATGAAAAACCCTAAATAAGCATTCAGTACAGAAAATAGCCCAGAGAGGAAAAACTGGTTGGGTCGAGCTTGAGATTTGAAATTGAAGCTTTGGGTCGATTATCATTGGATCGGGTTTAAGAGTGTTAATTTCATTTCATATTGGGCCGAATTTAGTCAGTAATGTTATTTAAACGGTTCTTAACTGTTGATTATGCGGATTTCTCTTAACGGTGAGGTTAGCGATTAACTGCATAACCACAAAACGAGTCATATCACTTATCGTGTCCCATTTAAAAACCAACTTATGCCGTGCACGGTACACTACTAAGCATGGTAAAGGAAACTGTACCGGAAGTCATACCGGTTCCGCCAGTGGTAGGGTATTTTGTGGTATTACAGTGGTTTAATTGTTGTGTACCGGCAAAATACCGTTTTTGTAATTAAATAATATTTTATTATTAAAAAACCGTATCGGCAGATTCGGGATACCGTTTCGAATAATACCGGAATAAAACCGGAATATACCGGATAACAAACCTGAATAAACTAAATAAGCATATGTAATATAAAATTCAACAAACTGCAACATTACTAAATTAACTAAATAATCGTTCAAATGCATGTTTACGATCGAGTACAAAACAACCAAACAACATTCTTACACCACAAGCAGGGGCGGAGCTACAGCAGCCCTCGGGGAGGCCCCCCCCCCCCCACCCCCCCAGAATCTTGAAAGTTACGTATAAAATGTTCGGTTGTATACCTATAAACTAAAGGTTACGATTAAATATCTTGACGTGCAATAGAATGACAACGAGCTTGATTTAGTCTAATGGAAACTGAGGGGATTGTTTTCCGAAACTAGCTTCTGTTCCCTGGTTCGATGGTCGTGAGAAGCAAGCTTGTACTTTTTTTCCTTATTTCTGTTTACCCCCCTTTTCTTAAACAATTTTGTTTCTTCGTTAGAATCCATTAAGTGAAATCAATTAATTAAGCACTTCAATAAATCGATTTAGCCATATTAACTTTTATAATTATATTTAATCATAAACTTTAATAAAATAATTTCAATTAAATTCTTCAATTTTAAGGACAGTTCGAGATACATGAGAAGTATTTGTAATTTTATTCCCCTTTAATAACTTCATTCATGATTTAAATTCCTTAATTTCAAATTTATCAATTAAGTTCTTCAATTGTAACTATTAGACTATATAAACAGTAATTGTTTTCTTATGCTAATATTTATATATATTTGATTTTTAGTTATGAAAAAAGAACGCGCGATACAATGACAATATTAAAATATATTATTATATTTATATAATTTTTATTTATATTGAACTTAATGTATTTAATGTTGTGGTTATAATAAAACAAAACTATTTTTTTAGTCTTTTGCGATAACGTTTTACGAAACTTCGGCCCCCCCGATCGTTAAATCCTAGCTCCGCCCCTGACCACAAGTTCAAACAAATATTTATTTTGGAAGATGCAAACTCTTCCTATGAAATCTGCTAATCAGGTGGGAATGGATAACAGTGTGCTAGTATGTCTATGCACAATCACAATCAGGTTAAATGACGCAAGCAGAAAGCACAGACAAAAGATCATGAAGAACAATTTGCGGCTGAAGTTAAAAGGACGAAAATAAACCGATAAAGCATAGCAGAAACGAAATACCTCGATATCCAGTCTTACGAGCTTGTTTGCTGGTGGTTGAGCTCTCACGTGTCGTCCCAATATAACACGCTGGTCCGTTCCTTGCAATTTTCGATTGGAAGCTTCAAAAACCTGGAATTAAGAAAGGAGGAGCAAATCAAGGTAGTGCCTTCAAAATTGAGTGAGGGAACCGGGGTTTCTATACACCATACCTCCAATTGGCGTTCGCTACAACTTTGAAATCGTTTTCTGAGAGGATCAGCGAAGCAGATCAGGTCGGCGCCTCGGCGGTCGGTGGAGCGGAGCAAAGGAGGGACCGCCAATGGAGAAATGGAGAAGAGGAGCGCCGATTGAACTGAAGAAGAAGAGGAGAACTGCAGAACTGGGAAGAAGAAAGGAAGGCGGCGGCTGTGTTTCGTTCGATTGAATAGAGTTTTCACAATTTGACTTTTTTTTTTTTTGCTAATACGACGACGTTTTTCTTTCCATTACCCTGCCCCCGGTTAGACCAAAACCGGCCGGTATTTCGGATTAAACCGTTTAAACCGGCCGGCACGATATTCGACACCCAAACACGATACCGTATCGGAAGTGCTCCGGTTTCCGGTTTTACAGGTTCAATCGGCGGGTATGATCCGGTTTCCTTTACCATGCTACTAAGTACTAACCGCTCATTTGTGATTCTATTACGATTACCCAAAAACCGTACCTATATTACCAGCCCTAAATTCTACCGCAAATCACTATAACTACGCTTATAAATTTCATGTTTGGATATTTTTTTATTTATCATTTTTCATGTTCGTCACTTACATCAATCTAATTTTTCATGGTCAAGCCCAAAACCAATCCAATAAACCCAACTCCTCATTTCGCTAGAAGAACCTCGCTAACCAAACGGTCTAAATTGAGGGCCGACGATCCACCAGGCCCAGTAGCTTCTCGAGCCAATTTTCCCCAATCCCCGGCCTTGTTCCTCATCTTCTGCCCCTCTTCCCCATTCATCAACTCCCTAACCAGCTTCTCCACCGCCCCCCTCTTCACATCCTTCTCGACCTCCATCCCAATCCCCCACTCCGTACACGCAAACCTGCAATTCATCGGCTGGTCGCCGAAGAAAGGCCAGCACATTACTGGAACTCCCGATGTCAAGCTCTCCAACATCGATCCCCACCCGCAGTGCGTCAAAAACCCTCCAACCGACGGATGGTTCAAAACTTCCTCCTGCGGGCACCAACCAGAGATAAACCCGATCTCGTCAGCCTTCTCCTGGAACTCAGGCGGAAACGCCGCCGATTCTCCGGCAACCAGGTCGGGCCGGATGACCCAGAGGAAGGAAACGTCGCTGTTCACGAAACCCATCCCGAATTCGATTAGATGCTCTCTCGACATCGTTATGATGCTTCCAAAATTGACATAGATGACAGAGTTTGGCGGTTTGGTGTCGAGCCAACGGAGGCACTCTGGGTCTTCTTTCCACAAGCTGTAGCTGATTGCGTCGAGGGTCGGGTGGGTGGATCCGATTTGATTCAGGAGGAGCTCTATGGGTCCGACCGGGTAGACCCGGTTAGGGTAGATGGAGTTGAGCGCAGCCAGGACGTTTGGCTCGAGGGCGTCGAACGAGTGAACTAGCACGGCCGAAGCTCTGGCGGCTGATTCTGCAGTTTCCATTACCAAGCGTAAAATCGGGTCGTCAGGATTGGTCGTGCAGAAGAAGCTGGGCAGATCTCTGAGTCGTATGTTCTTCATCCCTGGCACTTCTATGGTCTTATCCAGGTATCCGTTAGTCAAATAGCTTTCATCTGCAGCAATAACAGAACAAAAGTAGTAGTCATAATCGTTGTGTGCTATGTTTGTAGACAGAACTGAAAATTGGAAAGGCAAAAATGCAGCATTTGTGTTTTTACCTTTGAAGGGAGTGATGCCAGCGTCACAAAGAGTGCGGAATTGCCCGCACCCCATGAAGCCACAAGCGGCGAGGCTCCAATAGCTCAAGGAAGGGAGACTAAACTCTAGCGCGACATCGATAGCAAATGGCGACGAATCGGCCACCACACAGCTCACTGGCGGGTTGCCTTTGGAGAGGCTGTTGGTATCGCTCAGCCTGGCTACGAGCTCCCTGAAAGGAGCTATCATGAAGTGACGGACCGAGTTGCAGAGGCTGGTAATGTCCTGGGTGGAGTCGAGGTTTGAAGTTGGTAGGCCATCAGGGATGGTGGCGAATTTGAAGTCGGGGAGGCCGTCGAGGGCATGGGGACCTTTGGCGTTGAGGAAACGGTTGTGGTTGAACTCTGTGTTGACAAATGTGATGTGGAAGCCTCTGTTGTGGAGTAACTTGGCGAGCTTGAGAGTGGCCTTGATGTGGCTTTGTGCAGGGAATGCGATGCAAACTGCGTGGGGCTTCGGCAACTCCGGTTGATCCTCGTTACAGCCCATTGCTTTTCTGTACGTTTCTGCTTCAAAATTCAAATTGGGGCTTCGGTTTCGATGGAAATTTGTTAGCTTATCTCTTCATTCATTCTTGAGTTCTATGGATTGTATTGTAATGGGTAGGAATTGGACATAACATGACAAGACATTAATGCAATCAAGTTGTTTGTTCCCACATGTCATTCTCATATCTCAATTATTTGCAGTTGATATTTTAGTTTTGGAAAATGTTGCCCACTGATAATCTTATATCCATCCAAAGCAAATTTTGTTTTGGGTTCCTATTTGTTTACTTTTCGGTTGTCAAATATATTGGTAACCACCAGTCTAACTGGATCCCTGGTTGCCAGCTTGCAGCCCCAAGTTATAATCCGTTAATTCTGCCCGAGGGGGGATCCTTTGGTGGCGGAGCTCATCTGCGAAGGGGAAGGTAGGTGGTCGGATGCTAAGTTAAGTCTGTGGTTTGACCCTTCGACATGCGCAGCCATTAAGTCTATTCCTCTTCCGCGGCGGAATATTGCTGACAAACTCATTTGGCATAACACGGCTGATGGAGTTTTCTCGGTTAAGTCCGCTTATCATTTGGCGGTGGATCTAGACAGGAGGAGGGGGGGTTGGAGGGAGGCTGTTAGTTGGATGGATAAAAAAAGCTGGATCAGGATTTGGGAAGCTAAGATACCACCGAAATTGAAGGTTTTTATATGGCAAATTTGTAACCGGATTCTTCCTACTATGGAAGCGCTTATCGAGAGAAAGGTGCCAGTGTTGCCCCGTTGTCCAGTATGCTGGAATGGCCCGGAAACGATGGAACATTTGTTTCTGTACTGCCCGGTTGCGCGAGCTATTTGGGACCATTCTGGGCTCGATTATCTGGGAGAGGGTTTGCCCCGTCATACTTTCCCTTTGTTTCTTAAGCGGTTATTGGCATTGATCCACCAGCCCTCGCTAGTGATGGCGGTGGTTGCAGTCCTTTGGCGGATCTGGAAGTCCCGGAACTGGGTGGTCTTTGAAGGCAAACAGTTTGGGATTCCAGCCCTTATGCGACAATTCCATCAACAGTATGAGGAGTGGATGGCCTTGCCAGTGGATGGGCGGCCTCCGGGCAGAGATCTGGTGGTGCTGGCGGAGGTAAACGTGGGGGATTTCCGGTGGATCTGTCGTTGGGATGGGGCTACTAAGGGTGGGTCGCATGCGGCCGGTGGGATGGTTCTTCTCACTCCTGCTAATATGCTGCTTCGGGCTAAGGGGGTTCAGTTTCCCTCGGTGGAAGAGCCGGCGCTGGTGGAGTTGCTTACGCTCCGGGAGGCTATTACTTGGTGTTTGGACAGTGGGTGGACGGAGGTCAGGTTTGAGGGGGATGCTAAGGTGCTTATTGATAAAATCAATCAGGGTGATAATAGGGAGAGTCGGTTGGGTGCGATCTTAGAGGAGATTGGTCTTTTGTTGGATGCCCAACCGGGTTTTAGTGTGCGATTTATAGGACGGGAGAACAATAGGGTAGCTCATGTAGTAGCTAGAAAGGCCCTCTCTTTGTCTCCTTCTATGTATCGTCTGTTTGATTTCAGGGCCTGACTGGTTTCCAGGATGTAACTATTTTTTATGATCAATATATGATATCTTTTGAAAAAAAAAAAAAAAAAATATTGGTAACCAATTTGATATCGCCATTGCCCAAGGTTAGAATTTGATTTGTTGGCATGCAAAACATTAGAGTTGTCTATTTAGTGACTAAAAAGTCGCTTTCTTTGATTTTTGATTCAATTTTTGTGCTTGGTTCTCTTCGAATTTTGACATTGTGTAACTTGTTGGTTCTTATTAATGCATGCAATCGTTTTATTAAGAAAAAAAATTGATATCATGTGGCTACCCAGATCCGAATCCTGAAAACGATAAAACTACATATAAGAAAATCTCATAGCACAACACTTATAATGGATATTCTCAATATTCATAAGTTCCAGCGAATTCATAAGAAGAATGTTTAACAATTTAGAAAGCAGATTATTGAATACTAAAATGACAAGCTACGAAAGCATTAAAATGAAAAACTTAAGGTTGACCCTACGGTGGCATGCATGTAATGGTGACTTGTACTTTTCGGTCGACCTCAGTTAGGATTAGGTCGACCTCATTTAGTATGGGTATTCAAATGGTTACCATGGTTATAACCAAACCAAATAAGTCTAAATTCCATTAACTATGGAATACATATCATAACCAAACCGTCCAAACTAATACAACAACCAAATTAATCAAACTAAAGTTTAATCGGTTTGGTTAATTGGTTAACCAGATTAAACAAAATAAAATCACATTATCATTGACGATGAAAATTTTCCGGTTAATGCAACAATTCTCAATTTATATAATGAATAAAACACAACAATCAACAAGTAGTTATAGTTGACTCTTAACAAAAATACATGCAACTAAGACAATTATCTTACGATTAGTATAGAAGTATTCACCTAACAAAAAATTATGACAATGGTATAGGTTAATGAATTGTTGTGTTTGTGTAAATTGACTTAGTCTCTTGGCAATTATCATAGGCTGGAAATGACCTTCCTTTCAAGTTTTCATTCATTAAATGTATGAAATTTATCTAAATTAGGCGTCCATATGTTGTGGTCTAGACTTTACATATAAAAATATACACTATATGAGCAATATTGAGCTTTATATTTTATGAGTCTAAAAGGGATGAACGTTAACTCTTGAGTGGTTATGCAAAGTATTATGTGTATATAATATATGTTAGATATATGACTAATTACTTAACTGGTTAATTTGGTTTGACTGGTTAGGAGTGTCTGAAACCAAACCAAACCACCTAAACCAAACAAGCTAAAAACTTTAACCAAACCAAACCAATTATCCAAATTAACCAAACCAAATTATCCAGATAGTTTCGGTTAAAACGCTGAACACGGTAACCAAACCGTTTGAACACCCCTATCATTTAGGATCAGTTCGACCTCATTTAGGATTAGGTCGACCTCATATAGGATTAGGTCGACCTCATTTAGGATAAGGTCGACCTAATCGGTTGTTTCATTGTAAAAACAGTTTCATGGTGCCTACTTTGAAGATTCATATCTTACAATTGGCTCGATGCAAATTGGAGATTAATGGCTTGTTTTGAAGCTGGAGTGTCCCTCTACATATTGAAGTGCTTGGGAGCTCGATAGGAAGTTCAGAAGACCATTTTTGAACTTGATCAAAAGGCTATGCCAAAACTGGGAAAATGGCTGAAAATGGCTAAGTCTGGGAACGTGTTTGTAAAACCTACTCTGGAGCTCAATTCGAGAAGCATGGATGCGAGTCGAGTCCAGGGGCCTCTACCACGTTAAATTAGGTATATTTTTGTACAAATTCAAGGCATTGGATCAAAGATTGGATATCTGTAAGGCTTCAAACAAAAGGGTCGAAGTTGCTACGAAAACTATTTTTCTGGCAGACTTCGAGCACAAGCAAGCTGCCAGAAAAATAGCCTTCGTAGCAACTTCGACCCTTTTGTTTGAAGTCTTACAGATATCCGATCTTTCATCCAATTCCATGACCTTGTATAAAAACATACCTAATTTAACGTGGTAGAGGCCCCTGGACTCTATTCGCATCCATGCTTCTCGATTGAGTTCGAAAGTAGGCTTCACAAACACGTTCCCAGACTTGGGCCATTTTTAGGTGGTTTCCCAGTTTTGGCATAGCCTTTTGATGAGGTTTAAAAATGGTGTTCTGGACTTCTTACTGAGCTCCCAAGTACTTTAATGTGTAGAGGGACACTTCAGCTTGAAAACAAGCAATTGATCTCCAATTTCCATCTAGCCAATTTTAAGATATGAATCTCCAAAATAGGCACCATGAAACTGTTTTTACACTGAAACAACAGATTAAGTCGATCTAATCCTATATGAGGTTGACCGAAAAGTGCATGTCACCGTAGCAAAGTCCAAAACATAATTTATTATACATATAAATATGGCACGGTTTGTGTAAATAAGAAAATGGAAATGTTACACTTTAATATATATAAAGAAGAAGTGAGATTAATGTTGCCTAATAAATTACAATAACAAGCTACTAAAGCATTAAAATGAAAAGCTTAAATTATCATACATATAACTATTGCACGGTTTGTGTAAATAAGAAAATGGAGATGTTACACTTTAATATATATAAAGAAGAAGTGAGGTTATTGTTGCCTAATAAATTACAACTTAGTACCTCACTTCTTCTTACATTTCACATTTTGATGCCCCAAATTTAATTAAATTATAACTTATTCACTATAATGTACATTTTACATTTTGATATCCAAATTTAATTATAATATAAAATTATTTAACAATTGTGTTTTGGTATCTAAATTTTATGAGATTTTCGTACCTACAATTTTTTAAATTTACATATTGGTCCAATGTTTAGATATCACTTGAATTCATGAATCCAATCCACCAATCCTTTTGAACCAATCCATGAATCCAATCCACCATAACATAAAAGTATAACTTTAGTTTTGTACCATACAATATGTTGTATCACTCAACAGTAGGAGAAGATTCGACCATTTTATATTTGCTCATTATGTGAAACATAAATAAATGATAAAAGAGAGACGACTCTAAAATATTGCAAAAGTGAATTTATAAACTCATTTAGTACATTTACGGGGTACTAAACAAACTTCTACTAACTACCTGAAACAAAATATGCGACATCTACATAAGAAAGTGTTAATAAATTGCTACGGCGAAAGGGGTTGACTGTTGTATTGATGACCAACTAAAAGAATTGGTCAAAACATTTCCATCATCTACTTACTCTTCGTTTCATTTTTCACTTGCCTTCCATAACCCTTTATTTATTTCTTTCATTGTCTTCTTCGTCCAAACCTAATTAGTATACTATTATTTTTATGCATTCTAATCACAAGTATGAACGAGTCTATGCACGACTGACCAACAGTCTAGAGAATTAATAATTGAACCACGAACAACTAATTTTGTTCAGTTCAATGTCGAGTCCAATTAAAAGAAAATATATATGGTTATTACTTATTACAAAGTCGTCATTTTCCACTACGGGATTTGAAGGCATGAAATATTAAGCGAGTTCCAGTTTGTATTCCTTTTACTTCTCTCTAGAGTTTTTCTTTTTCACCTGGACTAGAATTTTCAACAATTATACATGGAATGTTTGGCTAGGTATCTAGACATATTAGATAAATAGTTTTCATTTCTATAAAAAAAGTAAATAATTATCATCTTAAATGCATCACTATAAAAGGAATTTAGCATCAACTATGAGGTCGCCAATCGCCTCTGCTGCCGGCTTGGTTGCCTGAACAAACCTCCTGCTAGTCACTGCCTTCTGCTATTTTTCTATCTTAATGGCGAGGTGCAAGGCCTCCTCTAGGTCTACAAAGAATCCCAAGTCGACTTCCTGCCGGACATGGCGGAATCGAGCGATTGTCGCTTCCCCGTCTTCTCGCACTGTCGCAACTGTCCCTCAGGGGTCGTCGGGGTCGCGTTCGCATTTTGGAGTCGCCATCGATCTTACTAGGAGTGGATCGAACACTATTCGATCGGCTCTAACCTTAGTGTCGGAATTGAGAATTGGTCTGCGATTTAGAGAAATGGGTTTGGGAGTACGGTTACGTGTGGGAAAGTTTAGCACACCCCACAATGCCCTAAATCGGTACTACTTAAGTCGATAATTTTTATATGTGTTGGGTGTTTTTGATAACAATTGTATATTTTTAAGATCTCGCTTGATCATTAATATATTGCTAACTTATTAGTTATGGTTTAATTAAACGTCCATTGACATATATATTTTAAAGATAAATTTGATTAGGGTCCCATTGAAACGCTAAAGAAATTTAAATCGCATCAACGGTAATTTGAATATATGCCCACTAGCTTTCAATTAAAAGATAAAATTTGTTAGTTAGTTGGATTCGAACCTTACCGGTTTCCTACGTACCCATAATACGAGATCAAAGTCCACGTAGTTCGTTGAAACTTTGATAATTTAGTTGTAACCACGTTCCTCTGATCGTGATTCTCGTATTAAGGATTTTTGTTAATAAAATTTGAATAGAATATTACGAGGTTGTTAAGAGAAACATAAGAATTTTAGTTGATAGGAAGGTATTTGATGTATTAGAAAAGAAACAGGACTAACTTAATCGGCATTCAAAATTTTGTATTAAGGATATTTAATGATAAAATAAAATGGAATGGTTAATTTATGCATGATGAGCAGGCAGCTCTAATGGTTTGAGCGCCGGTTACAATTGGTGTGTCGTCATCACCACACGAGTTTGAAACTCGGCAGCAACAATTTTTGTTTTTTTTTGTTCCGAGACACGTAAAAGGGGTAGTTAGGTATTTTCGCAAAAAGACGGTGGCAGGTCCATGTAAATTTCTAGGAACCCTAATCCTCTACTCTTCGTTCTCTGCACAAACAAAACGACGACCTCAATGAAAACCCGCTTCCACTCTCTTCTCCCTCTCGTTTTTCTCTGCTTTGTCCCAGAAAATCAAAACCCTAATCCTCTCTTCCACGACGTCGTCACTCTCTCCTCTCTCTCGAAGGACGAAACGTCTGAAAATCGATG